GGTCAGAAATATTTCTATTATTAGTAAAAAAGTTAGACGGTAGTTTATTCACTTTGTTCCCTCTCCTTTGTAATATCTCGTTTAAAACTTGCCAAGTTTTCTTAACGTTTGTTTTCGCTAAGTTCAATTTTTCTTCATAATGAAGGCGTTTTGCTGTACGTAACAGAGAACTCAACTTATTTCTATATTGTTTATAATTTATTTCGTTTTGTGAGGTGGGAAACTTCAGAAATTTTCGGTAAAGTCTGTTCTTTTTCCTAATAGATTTAAGTAAGCATTTGGAAATCCAAGGTTTTGTTAAACAATGTTTAGATGCCTTGATGTGTTTAAGAGGGAAACATTCGTTAAATAAGGCTGTATATTTATGGAGAAATGATCCGTAGGCATTTGCCGGATTGTTATATTCATCGAGATTCTCCCAATTAGTATTACGTAATTGATTGAGAAAATTGATCACATTTAATTGCTTCTTATCACGAACTACAAAATATGAGTTAACATTGCACCTATCTTGCTGCTCAGAGAAGATACTAAAAATGGGTAAGTGGTCAGATATATCAGTAAACAACAGACCGCTTAGAGCGTGGTTGTCAAGATTATTAGTAAAAATATTATCAATTAGGGTTGCCGAATGTGAAGTAATTCTAGTAGGATGTGTTATTAAGGGCAAAAACATATTAGTGTACATTATATCTAGGAACTTACTAGTTAATTCATGATTTAAGTGGTTCATTAAATTAATATTCCAATCCCCTAAAATATAACATGGCTTGTTTGTTTTGGAAATTTCACTAATCAAATATTCCGTATTGGTAATGAATTCATCAATGCTGACATCAGGGGGTCTGTATACGATACCAACGATTGTATTCTTCCCATGGGGTTTAGGAATTTCAATAAAAAGTGACTCAGTACGAATTGACTGATTAAATCCTAGGTCTGAGCGAATTATAAATTGAATATCATCTGTTACATATAGCCCAACGCCACCCCCTGCTCTGTCAGAGCGAGGTTTATGAATAAAGTTATAACCATCAATATTAACATTATGTTCGCATGTTTGCAGCCAGGTCTCGGAAATGCCGATAAACGAAAATTTGTGATTAATACTAGCAAGCAAGTGAACTAAACCATCGAAATTTCGGGATAAGCTTCTAATGTTTAAATGCAAGAATGACAAATAAACAGAGTTGTTTAAGCTAGTGGAGGCAATAGAATTATTAAGTTTGTTTTCAGTATAATAAGTGTCAGAAATCGACGACTGAGAATCGGGGTCTAGATCAATCAAATTAGCTAAGCCTTTCGAACTACCAGATAATAGTGGCTGAAATTTGAGACTCATTAATCTGTCCTCATTGAAATTAATTCTTCCGTAATTTGCTTCATTTATAAATAAACTAAATTCATCATCGTCAATATGTGCAAATGGCAATACATTTAAGGAAGATATTGTACAATTAGTTCAGAATATAAATAAATAGTTTGCTTACTTCTGAATGTCATTAATTAACGTAATTGATTATGGGCAGAAAAGTCGGCAAACTCTTCGACTGTTGTGAACGACATGGGTAGGGACAAAGGGCTATCGTCTTTACGAATAAACACTTTGCCAAACCTTGTCCAGATAAATTTAAAGTTGTGAGCTCTTGCATATGATTTGACTTTCTTCAATAGTTCTTTAGATTTCTTCGTCAAGCTTTCATTAATGTATAATTTTGAATCTTGCGTGAAGCCCAAGCCTAGATCGGAAGCTTTCTTTGACTTCAATCGACGCTTTGAATTGTAGATACGGTCTCGTGTATCTCTTCTGGTGAATTTAACAATGATGGGTGGAATAAAATCTGAGTTAGCAGTTGGTAGACGATGGCTAGTAGAGATTTCATGTTCGTCAATTTCCAGGTCGGGAGCAACGATTTCGGCAATTTTCAATACAATAGCGTTTGTATTTTCATGCCTTGAAAACGGGACGCCATGAATTTCCAGCAAGTCCCTTCTTGTGTATTGTTTGAGTTGCTCAAGATCTTTCGAATCACAATCTACTTTAATTTTAAGATCGCCGACATGTTTCTTTAATTCGTCATTTTGTTTACGCAGTTCGTCATTTTGGGCCCGAAGGTCATCCATGCTTGAAATTAGGCTATCAAATTTCGAACTGAGAAACTCTTGGCTTTTCTTAACTCCTTCTAGGTCAGACTTCGTCGTCTTGGAGAATTGATTGAACAGATCGTGAATTTGATCAAATTGCTTCTTTAATCTACGATCGAGAATCTCTTCAATGCTTTCAGCCGACATCATGACTTGCTTGTCTTCTTGAGTTGCTGAGGCCGATTCTCCGGACGAGTTCTTAGTTTGTCTTTTAGGTGGCATCGTTACAAGGTTTTAGCGCTTTCGATATGTAATATATTTAAGAAAAAAAAAATATATAGTGCGGAGCAACTAACTACACGTCTGCTCTGCTCTACGACCATTTACGCTTTTGAGTGTCCGCTATTCATGACAGTCCGCCATATTTTTGAGATCAGTTAGGATAACCACCCATGGTTGGTGACCCACGCCCGCGATAATTGATGAACTTTAGACTTCGCTAATGCTTTCGTTTCCCCGGGTGTAAATGGCCGGGGGAATTAGTACTAGGCCTTTCCCGATTGCGCTGAGCACTTTTTGAGCACTTTTTTTAGTTTGCATGTTGAGCAACCTTGGGCAATTCTTCGCACTTTGGGCAACATTTGAGCAATATTTCACATTTCGAGCAACAAAACGTCAGCGATTATAGAATTCGATTCGTACCTCGATTAAATAAACATACAATTCAGTGTAAGGTTTAAAAATTGACTGGTACTATACTATTATTCCGTATATAATTTAGGTAAAACTCCAAAAGAAAAGCCGTACAGCTGCATATGACATTACGGTTAAAAAATTAGAACGCTGACTTTTTCGCGTTCTCTTTTTTTTGTCGTAAACAACTCCATATACGGACGTTTGTTCCATATATGGAGAAAGACATGGAAACAGATTTTAAAAAATGCGGATTTTAAAAAAATTATGAAAATCTTAGAGGTAACTGTTCACAATTTTAGCACTTTTTGAGCACTATTTTGAGATTTTGAACACTTTCTGAGCACTTTTTAGCCATTTTTGCCAGCACTTTTTTAGGATTTTACCAGCGCAGTCGGGAAAGGCCTAATTAGTACCCTCGCACGGCGCGTCGTGCCGTCGGCTCGGGGACAACTCTAACGGCTTGAAAATTTCACTCAACTATGTTACTTTTGTTAGTCTTGTTTAGTTGTTTAAGGCAAAATCTTAATCTGAAATTATACTTATGTAGCGCGTCGCCATGATTGTCTGACTGGTTGATTTTAAATCCCATTGTGTTTCCACCAATCAATTCCACCGATCAGATCAGTTTGCTACAGATTTTTGCTCTGCTACTACAGAATATTAACTGCACTGAAATCAACCAATCACAGTCAAGTAATATTTTTATCGATCACTTTTTGCAACCTCGTTCCCAGGCTCTTCTCTCTTGGGGAAGAAAGACCCTGGTCGGAGCTGGTCACGTGGCTCCCAGATTCTGGGCGCTAAATTAAAATTGCACTTAGGGAGGGGTGGTAGAGGAGTGCGCTTGGAGAATTACAACCTGGGTGTTTAATATACTTTCGGGTGATAAAATTTAAATTTTCAACAAGAAATCCTAAAAGATTCCGCATTTATTATGACACAATTTCCTCTATATAATTGAGTGTTCAGCATGAGCTTCACCTTTGAATTTACTATATGAGTAAATTGTTAAACACGTCCGAATTTATCAATACAATTCGCGGCACCTAACCCCTAACACTACCTTAATCCTAATCTAACTTTTTTAAACTTTTTTTGAAAATCTAACTTTTTAAAACTTTTTTTTTGCTTTTGTAAACTTGTTTAACCTCTTTCGAAGAGGATAATGCAGTTACATTAGTTCATGATTTATGAAATTTAAACCAAAGTTTTTTTAGGTTTAGATGTAGGTAATGAGAACCATATTGGTGTCCTAGTAATAATTTTATGCCACAACAGTCCCTAAATGTTAGATGAAAAAATGTAGTGTGAAATATGATAGGGTAATGGCCTGGTGTTGTTGGCACAATCACAATGTATGCCTGTGAAAAAATGTTGTATTTGAAAAACCTGAGGATAAAAGATAAAAAACCACTTGTATTTGTATAAATGTGAACCTAAGAAATATAAGTGTATGTTATAGACTTGTGGAACATAAAATTGAAGATGTATGTGTGAAATTGTAAGAGTAAAATATATCCTGTTGTGTAAAAAAATGATCAGACCCAAAGAGTATGATCGCACTGTACTAAAAAGCTTGTATAGAGGCATGTAAAATATATAAAGCGAGATGAGAAAGTCATGTGTGTAAATTTCAGTATCCCTGTACGCAGCGTTTCGTCCTTCATGGACTCGTCAGCAGGGATTGGGGTTGGCACATGTATAAGAAGGAAGAATACAGAAACCGATTTGGATTACAGAGTGAATAAACATAAAAATAGTAAAATATGTGTATGATTATTGTGAAATAAATGTAAAGTATAAAGTGTCTTACCAAATTCGCTGATATTTTTTGTCAAACCAACACGGTGGGCCATGATTGTAATCACGAATGGATGTGGTAAAACTATAGCGTTTATATAGAGCGTCTGTATGCAGCTGTATAAATTGCGTGTTTGGTCAAACGCAGTGAGTGAGTAAGGCGAAGAGCACATATGGGCGTTTAGGTTGTTGTATGGATTGTAGGGGTGTTGAAGGATCATTTTGGAAATTGTGTATATACTGGGTTGTATCTGTTTACTTCATGTAATAATAGTGTTTGTGAACTTGTTATTTTATGTTGAGAGTGTTATTTTAAGTGTTGATGTGCAATGGTGTTTTGAGATATTTTTTTGAGACTTGGGGTAAAAAATGGTTGAGACGTGAGAGGGGTGGGGGGTAATGAACTGAGATAACGTACTGTACTTGAGTGTTTGTTTTATTGTTTAGGGATCGGATGTGTGTTAATAGCTGTAATGTACGGCGGGCTTGTGTGGTTGGCCATTGTGCAATGCATTTACTTAGTATTACTGTTGTATTGAGTTGCAAAGATCGGTCTGTTAGTTGCTTTATTTGCATTTTCTGTTTTGTTAAGTAGGTCATTTTGTGTGTACAGTAGTGCTTTGTTAAAGGATGTCGGATAATGTTGTCATGTTTGTGCATAAAGGCAATAAGTACGTTGTCCAGTCTTTGTTGTAGTTTCTTACTGTTAGTGGTGATGCGTATATATCGTATTGCTTGGCTGTAGATAACACAGTTTTTGCATGTTTGGGGGTAGGAGGAATATTGATTCAGGAGTAGAGTTCTACTAGTTGGTTTGATGTATACGTCTGATTTGAGTCTGTTGTTGGAATTAATGTAAATAGTTGTGTCAAGGAAGTTGACTGATTTTTATGAGCATGAGTATAGTCAAATTTAATTGTGGGATGGAAGTTGTTAATGTATGATAAGAATTTCTGGAGTTTTTCAATGTCATGGGTCCAAATTGCAAATGTGTCATCTATGAATCTTATCCATTTAATTGGTATAAGACCCTGTGGTACTTCGTTGAGAAGCTTCCATTCCAATATTGCCATGAATATGTTTGCAAAGGTGGGTGCCATATATAGATGATCTCATAGTGGTACCATGAATTTGTAGAAAGTGTTCATTGTTAATTGCAAAGGAGTTTTTATTAAGTATGAGAGATAAAATCTCAATAACTGATTGTTTTAGTTCAGGAGTTATTATATTGCTTTCATTCAACATATCTACACAGGCTTGGATGCCATGATCATTAGGTATGTTGGTATAGAGGCTCTTAACTTCAAATATGATAAGTATGAAGTTGTCATATATGGTAAGCCTTGATTTATTGAGAAAATTCTGCGGAGGAAATCTGTTGTGTCTTGTACATATGATGGTATATGTTTTAGGAGTGCTTTGCATGAGGAGGTGGTCAGCATATTGAGAGAGCTTGACAGTCGGTCCTCCGCAGCCTGCAATTATTGGTCTTCCTGGAGTGTCCTGAAATATAACCACTAGTAGTGTCTAGAAATATAACCACTGAGCACAGCATTTTCTACGTCAAACTACTGTCTATGGCGACTACGAGTGAAGCCTTTGTTTTGACAAATTATTATATTCGAGATGGATACTTGTATAGTCGTGTTTTGTCATATCTAAAATGCTCATGCTGTGCACTCGCATTTTAAATATGGTAAGATACTACTACGCGTGTTTTAAATGGTATATATAAGATTCTGGTGTATCACAGCTAGTAACTGAGCTTCAAGTAAGGTCAGCTTCGGTAATGTTTAAGCGCCATCGCAATTTTGAGGTCGCAGTCTCGCAAATTCCTCCAAGAAATTAAAGAAATTAAAAGAAATTTCTTAATGTCTGAGTTTGCATTACTTGTAATGGGTCTGTTCTGCGCCGAAAGCTCCTACGTTAAACAATTGTATAAAGAAATGTTCTTTTCATATCTTAAAGTAACAATAACCGGCCGCATTTTAAGACGAATTGCGGAGCATGCAATACTTCATTACAGTCATGATGACACTTTCATCATGCTATATAATTTGCTGTTTATTTTCTAGATATCGATGAGTGTCTTGGGAATTCGGACAATTGTCATCAGAATGCTGACTGTTTTAATACCATCGGATCATTTTATTGCGATTGTAAAGACGGTTTTAATGGCAATGGTACCTATTGTTATGGTATGTACATGATAAACTGTATTGTATGTATCCTGGTAAATGTGTGCACTATTATTGACTCCTTGTGGAATCATATAACATCTTGCTCGCCAATGCAGTAATAAACTTCGACGAAGATAAGCCGTTAAGTCATACTTGTAGTACGGATAGTTTTCGATTCACATTGTTAAATGTTAGGAAATTATAAATTGAAAGTTCGTTAAATTATTCAGCAAGTGAGTAATATATAATTAGTAAAGGACCGTTCATTATTTATGGGATGAGGGAGAATTGGGGGAGCTGAGATTTTCCAGCTAAAAAAAAGGACTGCAATTCTGGTAAACCAAATCCTGGTGGGACCTGAAATTGAAGGAAGACACAAATCATCTATAACTTTCAAAAACTCATTAATAATCGATGAGGGGAAAAACGAAAAGGAATCAGATTAACATAAACTTTATCTTTGAATTTTTCCTGTTAGACAATATTGATTTTCAAAATCACCAGGTCAAATAGATTCGTTTCTGCAACTATTCAAAATACTCACAGTACATGTTTCATCAGATCTGTCAATTTAAATAAATAGGTATCACCTCGTGTTCTAAATCTGATAAAATTGCTGTTGGTGCTTTGAATATTAATACATAATAACTAAATTTCTTTTCTGCTCTCTGTCCCTACTGTACAAAGTATATAGTTGGACACAAAAGGAATAAAAAACAAAGATGTACATTTAATATAGTATTGAATTGTACATTCTAGCACTGTATATATAAATATATGCATATAAATATATGCATAATTTAACAAGTCGTTCTCAGCTTGACCTTGTAGCTCAGACTGTAGAGCATCGTTCTAGAAATGCGAAGGTCGCGGGTTCGAATCCCAGCAGCGGTCAAGTAGAATTTTCTGCTTGCCCGGTTTGGTAAACACTCGTCTGAAAACAACTCAAAAACCGCTACATAACGTTACAAGAGTGGAATCGTAAACGTGAGAAACCACAACATTCAAATATATGCATATATATAAATTGCAACAGCTGCAGAAGTACGTACATGTCTTACTCATTCACTGTGAACAACATTTACATGCGTTTTTATGTATTTTGTAAAGTGCATGCTATATAGTATACGGTAGTTATAGGGGACCCTAAAATTTATTGTTAAGGTAAGAGGAGGGGGACCGACAATCTAAGTTTGACTAAGGATGGGGTCCGGGGAAAAAATAAGAAAATTTGCAAAAATCACCCGTGTCCCCACCTCCCATATATAATGAACAGCCCTTCAATATAAGGTGAAACGTGAATGAGTCTTCAAATATCCAGGGTGAGTATAGTAAAAATCCTTCCTGAACGTAAACATACGAATAAATTTGTATTTATAAATATTTCTAAGATAATATTTTATTTGAAATTTGTTTCAAGTTGCCGAGGTTTCGTTCACAAGGGCATCAGTAGCGATTACAGAAGGAGAGGACATTGCAGTCTCATTTTCCCTGAATGGAAGAATTGATACGATCGCTGTTGTAAAGTAAGTCGCATGCAAGGGTGCTTCATTTTTCAGTTGCTAGTTCATTGTTTCAAAGGCATTCTTATTATCTAAAATCAGTCTGATGCTATCTAATAGTCAGACTGTTGTAATGGTAATATAAGCAAAAATATAGCGGCGGTTCAACCTCACCAGGAATAAGGATCTTGTCGAGAGTATGTCGGGACATTTTAATATCTTACAGTATCGATTTTTATATCAAGCATGGATTACAACAGCACATGTGCTACTAATTTGAAACTCTGATGACATGCATCTTTACAGGGGCCTGTTTCGTCAAAGGCTTAACTACTTTATACCCATCCTTACCTATCTTTTCGTGCCGTCAAATATTTTAATAGTTAAAGATTCTGATTGGTTATAACACTTGCACTATATAGTTGTAGTTAAGTTTAACTATTTTTTATACAACCTGCCACAGACTGCGGCAGTCGAAGTATTTTAAGGAGTAAATTAGTGATCGACATATTAAAAATACCTGTGGACAAGAGAAAAACTTTGCATGTTGTCGGTAACTGAATAGTTCCAATTCTCGTAAGACATAAGATACACCATTCAAAAGGAAAGTTAGAATCTATTCGCTATCTGTATCAGTGGCGCCGTGGCTGGAAGGGGGCTAGAGGGGGAATGCCTCCCCTCCTATTGTTGAGACCCGTCGGAAAATTGTTAATGTTGTCGGGATCTTCGTGGTGAAGCAGACCTGCATAGTCCGGGCTCGCCGATTTCTAGTTTGGAAAAAGTGCTATGAAAGCAATTATAACGTCCTTGTCCGGAACATTTTTTTACGAAAAAAGTTGTCGACGGGGAAGATAAATAAAATGTTCTCGTCCGGAAAATTTATTTTCAACTGACTTTGTCGGAAAAATACTGCCCTTGGCCACCCCAAAAACATGGGCTCCACGGCCCCACTGAATTCTGTATAGGCGATATTTGTGCATTCTAGTGCAAGGGATCTTCGATATTGTTGGGTTCTCACCTTCAGCTTCTTGTTAATCAAAAGACAAAACTTGCAGTTTGTTGTAGCAGCAACTATACTATGCAACAGACTCCTACTTGATATTAGAAAAGAGAACAATGTCGATTCTTTTAAAAAACATCTTAAAACTCTTCTAGTTAAAAAAGCATATATGTTGATCGATAAATTATTTTCAAGACTATAAATTATTACTGAACAAACAAACAATGTATTAAATAATCATTTTAGCAAATTTTAAGTTGTACACATGGATTGTAATTTTTATTATTCACGATACATATTGCTTTTTTGTTAATATTTTCTTGTTTTATGTCATGGTCGGATATCCATTTTCTTATTTGAAAAGCACATTAGATCATATCGCTATGTCATTAGCGCTATATAAATTTTAAAATTATCATTATTACATTTTTCTGAATTTTAGTGTTCAAGTTTCTGGAACGGCAACAGAACTCGTAGACTACAGTTCATTTACTAAAGCATTTTTCTACAATCCTGGTGACCCGTCTACAAAAACATTCACCATAAGAACAATTGATGATCAACGGCTTGAAGGACTGGAAACTATAATCTTAACACTTTCATCAATCCACAGTCACGTGACCCCTGGAAATATTCCTTCAATGACTATCACTATTGTTGATAATGATGGTTTGTATTTATGTGCTATTTATACCTTGTTATACTATTTATACTTTATATATTGTTAAAACATAACATAACGTACGTAAAAAACTGCCACTTGCCTCCAGAGCCAAAACTACATAGTTTCTATTTCTCGTACTTTCAAACAAGATCCTAATACAACCCATAGCCACGCAAAACACTTTCTTAACTCGCTTCATTTTATAGATGAATCACATACTTGCCACCCAACCAGCCAAAAACATGAAACTGTTCACATTTAACATATGGATGCTGATCAACAAAATTTAAGTTCACATCTTATCATGATACATGGGT